AACGGCAAGCGCAAGCTGTTGAGTGTTGATCGTTAACAGTGATTTGAAGGTAAGTGGTGAATTATTCATTCAATCATTTTGACGTCGGCCCCATGTACATTGTGTCGTCGCTAACGGTGCTGGACGGTTCACCTATAGTTCGTTGATTTCGCCGTTGAGGCGTATTTTAAATTGTGGGGTTAAGGTATTTACGGGGCAATATGCTCGCGTTTTACCGTTGATTCGACAAGTCAGGATAACCCAACCACTCTACTTATCGACAAATGTGCGTACACAATCGTACAGCTTTACGTATTCGTCTGATCCCGCGGCCGGCCATTTAATTTAGGCCACGCCCCCTCTCGAACCTCGAGTCGACTTGTTGATTGTTGATAAATATGAGAGGGGCGGTGGGCGGGAGCTTAAATGTTGTCTGCCTGAATGTAAACACTTTGTTTAACCCCTGCTTTACCAGTGCTCTTTCTCTGTTTTGGCAGGTGCAATGGAATCGAAAAGAGTGAGGAGAGCCCCGAAAGGGTACCTAAACAGCCCTTCCTTGATAAGCCTGGTGAGGGTGAATGAGGTTTTGTGGGATTACAGACATCCTGAGTACCACAGTTCAAGAGCAAGAGACCAAGCGTGGGAGAAAGTCGCAGCTCAGTTTCTTGATGCCAGTGGTAAGTTTTGTTGTCATGTGAATAAAGAGCCCTGTAATTTTAGACTATATTATCTACTTACATTTGACTTTTTAACAGCACCAGATTGTGAGGACAAATGGAAGGCAATCAGACGGGCCTATGCCAACTACAAAAGGAGGCAACGGCTGTATGAATTTTCAGGTGCGCCTGCTCATCCTAATCCCCGAAGAAGAGGCAGAGGGTACAAATACGCCAATCAGTTATCTTTTTTGGATGAGCTGAAATTAGATGAGCAAGACGACCTACTGGAGGGAAATGTGGAAACAGAGACTGATGATAGTGTCCAGTCTGACAGTGGTTCCTTTCTCGAGAGCACTAAAGATACTTCAGGATGCTCTGAGCAAATGGCTCAGAGCCATCACAGCCATCTGATCTCACCATGCATGAAGTATCAACTGCATTATCTGCTGAAATGTCAGCAGAGGAAATTGAAGTGCCTACTGTCATTCCAAATAAACTCGCTCCAAGAGCTCTTACAACCATCCAACAAAATTGCCAGGTTGAGAGCTTACATTTTTTAAATTATTTTCTTCAGCATCAAAGTTTATTACTAATAATTTTTTTTTTGTCATGTAGGACTTCAATACACCCCAGCAGAAAGG